GGTACCGTCAGACTGGTGATTTGTTTATAGACACTTAGAGTTAGTACTCTAAGTGTCTATAAACAAATCACCAGTCTGACGGTACCAGTACTCTAAGTGTCTATAAACAAATCACCAGTCTGACGGTACCAGTAGACACTTATAGTACTGGTACTGTCAGACTGGTGATTTGTTTATCGACACTTATAGTACTGGTACCGTCAGACTGGTGATTTGTTTATAGACACTTAGAGTACCGGTACCATCAGACTGATGGTTTGTTTATAGACACTTAGAGTGCCGGTACCGTCAGACTGGGAACAATACCGCTAATATTTGCCTCCGATTCCCAAGTTATAAAATCGCCACTAGGCCTAGTGTCTCTAACTAGACGAGCAGATCGGTTTGTCATTTCTGATTAAAGTGTTTGGCTATCACGTGATGAACAATAGGTTCAACCGACTTAAGTTTAACCTCATTGAGAAGTCCCGTACGGCCATTCTATTCATTCAGAACTCTACGTACTTAACCACATATGTGTGTAGTCTATGCAGATCACTTAACTGTTTTAGCTACTTTAAATATACAGTACTGTCTTTACATTTTATAAACTCTGTGTATTCAAATACAGAAATACCAAAACTAAAAAATGTTTCGCACTGGAAGGACGAGTGTTTCCTTAGTATTTTTATTAACAGACCATAATGTTTGAAGGTTGTGTGTTGATGTAATAGGGTGTGTTATTGTAAGTTATTGTGTTTAGAGGCTGTTTAATGGTGTTATAGGATGTGTTCTTATAGTCTGTGGTGGTGAAATGATGTTCATTGTTATATAAGTTATAGTGTTGAAATAATGTGTTGTTATAAGTTATGGTGTTTATAGGATATTTATTGGTGTTATAGTGTGTTTTGTTATAAGTTATGGTGTTTATAGGATGTTTATTGGTGTTATAGAGTGTTTGATTATACGTTATGGTGTTTAGATGATGTTTATTGGTGTTACAGGGTGTGTTGTTATAAGTTATGGTGTTTAGAGGATGTTTATTGGTTTTATAGGGTGTTCTGTTAAAAGTGATGGTGTTTATAGGATGTTTATTGGTGTTATAGAGTGTTTTGTTATAAGTTATGGTGTTTAGAGAATGTTTATTGGTGTTATAGAGTGTTTGATTATACGTTATGGTGTTTAGATGATGTTTATTGGTGTTACAGGGTGTTTTGTTAAGAGTTGTGGTGTTTAGATGATGTTTATTGGTGTTATAGTGTGTTTTGTTATAAGTTATGGTGTTTAGATGATGTTTATTAGTGTTACAGGGTGTGTTGTTATAAGTTATGGTGTTAAGAGGATGTTTATTGGTGTTATAGAATGTCTGATTATAAGTTATGGTGTTTAGATTATGTTTATTGGTGTTATAGTGTGTTTTGTTATAAGTTATGGTGTTATAGAGTGTTTGTTTATAAATTATGGTGTTTAGATGGTGTTTATTGGTGTTACAGGGTGTTACAGGGTGTGCTGTTATAAGTTATGGTGTGTAGAGGATG